ATAAGTGGACCAACAATTCTGCCCGCACCTGTTATCCGTTTAAAGGACGAATTTACGATGGAAAAGCAACCCATTCCAAATTGAGGTAGAGATGGTGAGTAGTACCAGAAAGAAAGCGAAACCACGAAAAACGGCCCAGAACCGGAGAAATGGGACCCCTTCCTTGTCCGTTGATTTGAGCATTGATGGGACTCTCATCGCTTTGCCCTCTTCAACCCTACGCTCTCTCAGCTATCTAATCACTCGCCACCTATTGTACTACGGCGAGTGATCAGACGATCGGTGGGCGGAGATCGCCGAACTCGCCAACTTTGAGCCATGCTAGATCTCAGAGGTCAAATCTTTCGATGCCGATTGCGTGTCTGTCCGCACCCTCAAGAGATTCACCGCTCTCCCCACTAGGCGATTTCTCCCTTCTTCGACCTTCGTTCTTTCCGTGCAATCCTCCTTTAAGGAGAATGCGGTGGGTTCTCAAAAGGAAGAGGCGGGGGGAGGTGGTTTCGAAAGTGGAAAAAAAACGACGAGGCTTTTCTAAATGTCAATAAAAATTCGCTTGTATCAGTGTTAAGCACTAGGATTTTCGTGCACGAACCTTGTGTGACCATCAATTATTCAGATGTTCCTGCCAATCCGGTAGTGGATCAACCTGTTTGTACAGAAAGGAAAGCAGTGATCAAATGGAAATCGGCAGAAGATCACGGCGACAACATCAAGAAGTACATTGTCGAAATGGAAACGGATTTTCGTAAGGTTGGTGTGGCTTTTCTCCAGTTTTTCTACTCTTGCTTTTCTTCAATTAATCTGTTAAGGGAGTTTGGGAACGTGTAGTAGAGGAAACGAACGTCGCCAGGGAGAACTTCGAAGCAGATGTCACCTTGACGCCTTGGGTAAGCTGCCTGCTTGCAAATACTCCGAAATGGAGATAAGTAGAACTGATTGTATTTGGATTCTTCAGGTGAATTACACATTCCGAGTGATTGCTGAAAATTCACATGGCCGATCAGATATGAACATTGGTATCGATGACGAAGGTCAGTTAAATTTTTCTCTCATTGAGTCTTCGCAGGTCCACAGAGAATGTTCATTGCCTTCTTGATAATGTGTTAGTGTGTTGAAACGCTTGCACAAGTGCAAGAGGGATTCGAATTCAGGTCTGGGAAACTTTTTTGAACCCTTATTCGTTCATAATTATCGACTTGGCAAAAGGCGCTTTGAAAGCACAAAACAGCGCCAGACTATAAACACTAATGCCTCTCTTCTGGGCCTAGCACTGTATTCAAGCGACTCGGTCACCTTGCAAGTCATTTCCTGATATTATTAGGTTGTCTCATAAATAGTGTCGCTTTTTTTCAACCAAAAAATTTTCATCTAAATCCCCATGCTTTTACATCGAGTCATATACCATTCGAAAGAGAATTGTCTGCTCTACAAGAATATTGTGTTCTTCTTCCATCTATGTTCCATGGTTTTCAAATTTTAGGCCTGCGAAATGGGAGGTCCAGCCGACAAAAATTGACCAAACCGACAACTATCTCTAACTTTATCTTCCCTTGGGAGAAATCAATCAATGATGTACCCTCTACTTATGCATGACCTCTTCTAAACATTACACTATTAGGTTTCCCAACAAGTCGCGTCATTCCATTTCCAGACCTGGTTTTTCAACCAGAACTCGACGGTCAAGCACCATTACCTGAGATCTAGGTCGAAATTTTTTTATAGCCGAGACATTGAAAAACTAGTAGAATTTAAAGAACAAGTCATGACTAAGTTAGGAATGTACGCCTGGTTGATTTTCTCATCTTCTCAGGGATAATTTTTTTCAAAGAAATGCGGTCACTTTCGTGGATAAAGCACCTTATCCTAAACACCTAAAATTCGAGCTAATTCCTAACAAACATAAAACAAAACAAATGAGCGAATAGAGCAGAAGAAGTGCTCACAAAAGATACACCAGTTGATATAAAACAATAGCGTTTCAGAGGAAGAATTTCAATTTGAAAATTGCCATGGCTTATCGGTCGGCCAATTCGAAAAGAAACAGGGCAAACCTTTTTCGGCAACCTAAGGGTGGAATGTTCAGAAGAGGTCATGAGTAAGTAGAGGGTACATCATTGATTGATTTCTCCCAAGGGAAAATAAAGTTAGAGCTAGTTGTCGGTTTGGTCAATTTTTGTCGGCTGGACCTCCCATTTCGCAGGCCTAAAATTTGAAAACCATGGAACATAGATGGAAGAGAACATAGCATCTTGTAGAGCAGACAATTCTCTTTCGAATGGTATATGACACGATGTAAAAGCATGGGGATTTAGATGAAAATTTTTTGGTTGAAAAAAAGCGACACTACTTATGAGACAACCTAATATAAAATATTCTTGCAGGTTCAGTCGCTCCGTCTCTCTACCTTCGAGAAGGAAGTATTTGAAAGTATACAAAGAATGAAAGTGCATCTTTGCAAGGAACAGGGTCACATGTGCACGCGCTGCGAAGGCATTTCCTCTATCTACCGCCCGCTCCCTCGCCCCTTAATACCTCGTTGAGAATGACACTGTTGTTAGGGACGCTGTCGCAAAAACGACGTGAAGGAAAGACCCTGGGCAAATGAAGTTGTTCTTCAGGTTGTAGGAGTTACGAAATGTGTTTGCTACAATGCAG